ATACGTGTTGGGAGATGGTATACTTGTATGGAGATGGTGTACTGGTTGGGGAGATTGTATACTGGTTGGGAGATGGCATACTGGTTGGAGAGATAGTTTACTGGTTGAGGAGATGGTATTCTGGTTGAGGAGATGGTATTCTGGTTGGGGAGATGGTATACTGGTTGGGGAGATGGTATACTGGTTGGGAGATGGTATACTTGTTAGGAGATGATATACTGGTTGGGGAGATGGTATACTGGTTGGGGAGATGGTATACTGGTATAGAGATGGTATACTGGTATAGAGATGGTATACTGGTATAGAGATGGTATACTGGTTGGGAGATGGTATACTGGTTGGGAGATGGTATACTAGTTGAGGAGATGGTATACTGGTTGGGGAGATGGTATACTGGTATAGAGATGGTATACTGGTATAGAGATGGTATACTGGTTGGGGAGATTGTATACTGGTATAGAGATGGTATACTGATTGGGGAGATGGTATACTGGTTGGGAGATGGTAAACTGGTATAGAGATGGTATACTGGTTGGGAGATGGTATACTGGTTGGGAGATGGTATACTAGTTGAGGAGATGGTATACTGGTTGGGGAGATGGTATACTGGTATAGAGATGGTATACTGGTATAGAGATGGTATACTGGTTGGGGAGATGGTATATTGGGTGGGAGATGGTATACTGGTATAGAGATGGTATACTGATTGGGGAGATGGTATATTGGGTGGGAGATGGTATACTGGTTAGGAGATAGTATACTGGATGGGAGATGGCCTACTGGTTGGGGAGATGGTATACTGGTATGGAGATAGTGTACAGATATCATTGGTTGGGAGCTGTTATGGAGATTGTGTACAGATATCACTGGTTGGGAGCTGTTATGGAGATTGTGTACAGATATCACTGGTTGGGAGCTGGTATGGAGATTGTGTACAGATGTCACTGGTTGGGAGCTGGTATGGAGATTGTGTACAGATATTACTGGTTGGGAGCTGGTATGGAGATTGTATACAGATATCACTGGTTAGGAGCTGGTATGGATATTGTGTACAGATAGCACTTGTTGGGAGCTGGTATGGAGATTGTGTACAGCTATCATTGGTTAGGAGCTGGTATGGTGATTGTGTACAGATATCACTGGTTGGGAGCTGGTATGGAGATTGTGTACAGATATCACTGGTTGGGAGCTTATATGTACATATCACCTGTTGGGAGATACTTATCAGCCATATTTTTATCATAGTATTTGTACCATTTGATGGTACCTGTCTGAGGAGGTGGTGGGTGTGGAAGGTGTAATTACACATTACACTTAACATATATATTATGTACACACAAAAATATTTTACATCCTTTGTTTGACCTATGACCTTAAGATCACATTGATCAACATACTGTTGACATCACATCTTCAGTATATCCTTTGTATGACCTATGACCTTAAGATCACATTGATCAACATACTGTTGACATCACATCTTCAGTATATCCTTTGTATGACCTATGACCTTAAGATCACATTGATCAACATACTGTTGACATCACATCTCTAGTATATCCTTTGCAGGAATCCTTTGAATTTCATTGTGATATCATTAAGAAAGCTGGTTAGGTATTAGGACAACAACATGCAATATCTTGAATATTTGTGTCTCAATTGAAATGTCATGTGATCCATGTAGACTACCACTCAAGAAAAAAACTTGTTTATTTGTATATACATCATGTCACAATGACAATGTGGCCGAGTGTTTCCAGGAGATACATGTCACAATGACAATGTGGCAGAGTGTTTCCAGGAGATACAACATCATGTCACAATGACAATGTGGCAGAGTGTTTCCAGGAGATACAACAACATGTCACAATGACAATGTGGCCGAGTGTTTCCAGGAGATACATGTCACAATGACAATGTGGCAGAGTGTTTCCAGGAGATACAACATCATGTCACAATGACAATGTGGCAGAGTGTTTCCAGGAGATACATGTCACAATGACAATGTGGCCGAGTGTTTCCAGGAGATACAACAACATGTCACAATGACAATGTGGCCGAGTGTTTCCAGGAGATACATGTCACAATGACAATGTGGCCGAGTGTTTCCAGGAGATACAACAACATGTCACAATGACAATGTGGCCGAGTGTTTCCAGGAGATACATGTCACAATGACAATGTGGCCGAGTGTTTCAGGAGATACATGTCACAATGACAATGTGGCCGAGTGTTTCCAGGAGATACAACAACATGTCACAATGACAATGTGGCCGAGTGTTTCCAGGAGATACATGTCACAATGACAATGTGGCCGAGTGTTTCCAGGAGATACAACAACATGTCACAATGACAATGTGGCCGAGTGTTTCCAGGAGATACATGTCACAATGACAATGTGGCCGAGTGTTTCCAGGAGATACATGTCACAATGACAATGTGGCCGAGTGTTTCCAGGAGATACAACAACATGTCACAATGACAATGTGGCCGAGTGTTTCCAGGAGATACATGTCACAATGACAATGTGGCCGAGTGTTTCCAGGAGATACAACAACATGTCACAATGACAATGTGGCCGAGTGTTTCCAGGAGATACAACAACATGTCACAATGACAATGTGGCCGAGTGTTTCCAGGAGATACATGTCAAAATGACAATGTGGCAGAGTGTTTCCAGGAGATACAACAACATGTCACAATGACAATGTGGCCGAGTGTTTCCAGGAGATACATGTCACAATGACAATGTGGCCGAGTGTTTCCAGATACATGTCACAATGACAATGTGGCCGAGTGTTTCCAGGAGATACAACAACATGTCACAAGACAATGTGGCCGAGTGTTTCCAGGAGATACATGTCACAATGACAATGTGGCCGAGTGTTTCCAGGAGATACATGTCACAATGACAATGTGGCCGAGTGTTTCCAGGAGATACAACAACATGTCACAATGACAATGTGGCCGAGTGTTTCCAGGAGATACATGTCACAATGACAATGTGGCCGAGTGTTTCCAGGAGATACAACAACATGTCACAATGACAATGTGGCCGAGTGTTTCCAGGAGATACAACAACATGTCACAATGACAATGTGGCCGAGTGTTTCCAGGAGATACATGTCAAAATGACAATGTGGCCGAGTGTTTCCAGGAGATACAACAACATGTCACAATGACAATGTGGCCGAGTGTTTCCAGGAGATACATGTCACAATGACAATGTGGCCGAGTGTTTCCAGGAGATACAACAACATGTCACAATGACAATGTGGCCGAGTGTTTCCAGGAGATACATGTCACAATGACAATGTGGCCGAGTGTTTCCAGGAGATACATGTCACAATGACAATGTGGCCGAGTGTTTCCAGGAGATACAACAACATGTCACAATGACAATGTGGCTAAATGTTTCCAGGAGATACATGTCACAATGACAATGTGGCCGAGTGTTTTTTCCCTGATATACTTGTCTGATGTTCTTAACTAAATAATTCAAAGTACACCAGAATGGCTGAAACAAAGAGACTAAGATTTTAGCACATTGATATGATTAAGACCATACTGCTGGTGTAGCTGAAATCCCCTGAAGTGACTCTCTGGCATTAAATTTATATCGATATAAACTACTACACCTATTACACTGTAGGAATAAACGCCCCACATCAAGCACCACCAGCTCTCCGATACATCACGTTGGAATTTAACACAGATGTTGTTCATGTTTTCTACAAAGTTCACATCTGGTGAGGAAATTTATCTCTTCTCATTTCTATATATACTTTATTTAAAGCCTTAATGATAAAATACATATCCTTAATTCTCTACTGGGCAATTATTATACATAACAAGCATTTATGTACCAATAGCTACTAATCTGTAGGATTTAGCCCACAGAACATACGTATGTTTAAAGTTAAAAAATATCACTGATTTGTTAATATATGTGATAAATCACATAAAAATGACAAATATCTATCTATATAATGATAGCATTCCTCAATGTTAAAAGCTAGACATAACATATTCTATTTGTTGTTTAATGCATTAGGTTTATAGAACTGAAGATTATAGCTTATATAGGACTGAGTGTATAGTGTGTGATGTGGACCATGAGGTGGGTGATCGATATCATTAAATGTATAATTCATATTGTATATAATCTGTAATCAATTGTATATCAGCAAGCATGACGTATGTATACACATGTGTTTCTTACATATAACACATTACACATGTAACAACTTATTTACAATTGTACACATAAATAGATCAACACATGTACAATTCAAACACACATGTTTATAGACACATGTACAATTCAAACACACATGTTTATAGACACATGTACAATTCAAACACACATGTTTATAGACACATGTACAATTCAAACACACATGTTTATAGACACATATACAATTCAAACAAACATGTTTATAGACACATGTACAATTCAAACACACATGATTTACAAACACATGTACAATTCACACACACATGATTTACATACATATGTACAATTCAAACACACATGATTTACAGACACATGTACAATTCAAACACACATGATTTACAGACACATGTACAATTCAAACACACATGATTTACAGACACATGTTAAATTCAAACACACATGATTTACAGACACATGTACAATTCAAACACACATGATTTACAGACACATGTACAATTCAACACACATGATTTACAGACACATGTACAATTCAAACACACATGATTTACAGACACATGTTCAATTTACATACACAGAAGTGCAATTTACAAACACATGTAAACAGTACACACATATACAACATAAACACTTGTGATTAAGAGACACACATATGTATTGTTGTACAATAAATCTTATGAATCTATACACACAGTCAATCTAACAAAAGCTGCTGGTGTTGTTTATAAGGAATCTCACCATTACAACAAGGAGCTATAACAGACCTAGAGCACTTAAGACCCTGTCTGTATACATCTATACTTACAGAAGGGATAGTACTTCTGTCGGTTGAGATGATTTCCAGCCATGATAGCTCACACTAAATGGGTAGGTACAAAGAATTTAGTAAGTCAGAATGAAATCAGCATCCTGTGTTACAGTAGAACCGTAGTGTACAGCACACTGGTCGTCACCTCAATATACACACACTATTCATGTTCAATCAGGGAGAAAAAAGTACTATAATCCTACAGCCACTTATAATGATTTACATGCAAGAAGTTCTTAATACACTACATATAAATGTGTGTGTTGACCAGAACAAAACGTAGCAGGTCCACATTAGTGTGCCAGGTTTGGATTTGACTCCCTTCCAGGCGAATATTGGTTTTCTATAATAATAGTGATACCTGGCCTGTTTGTAACCATTAGTCAAGTATCCCTTAAGGCATCATAGAACAAAAACCACACGTTTGATTGGAATTCTTATTGAAAATTTTATTTAATTATCAGCAGTGATAATCTCTAGACATGTTACATGGAGTTTTACTTCAGTTCTACTCAAAGATTTGTCAAGAATTTACCACACATGTACGTCCATGTGTACATGTGTGTGGGAGAAAATTGTTCAGCGCTGGTAAGTTACAATTATGACTGCAAATACTGTAACTAAATGATTTTATTTTATTTACACTGTTATGTAATAACCAGATCAGATCTGCCATAACAGACAGAAAATATATGAAATTTACCTATAATTGTGGCTTCACTGTACATTAATCAAACCATTTTAAGAGGAGGATTTTGATTGAGGCATAAATGACTGCACAACGTTTATCTGCTGAAATGTCTCCAAGCAATTTCCAAAATTAAACGTCATGTACATTATACTGAAAATTAACGTTTTTCATCATTTTCCAACTCCTAAAGCTGATAATCTACAATTTGTCAGTGTGAGGTGTATATTTATATTGTAAGATAAGAAATACTTTTTTATACCATCTGTTCCATACAACACGTATCATTGCACATATCCACAGGGATACAGAACAGCAGGTGTATTCTAGGTCAATTGTGTGTGAATTCATCATTAGCTCAATTATATATCCCTATGGAATAAAAACACACAATATATTCTCCCTGCCTATAGTGTCATTCCTCAAAAAAAACTGAACAAACATACTCTTACCCACAAACTTTTGACCAAACCATGGTCTTTTTGTTTAAAACTTATTTGTCACAGTATGTAATTTCAAGTTTTTGTGAATCTGTATAATTCTCTCTGTCCCCATTCCTTCCCTCCAAACCTTTTGACCCAGCCATGGTCTCTAATTCCACATGATAATGTTTACTTACATACATCTATTTGTCTCCATCTATGTTGCGTGTCCAAATTTAATAGTTACCAAAGATTGGTACTGAAGTGACACCATTCCCTAGAAGTAACCATATTTTGGGGTCGTGGTATTTTAACCTAACCTTCCAATGGCACCCTCAACTGTACACAACATTATCCCTTGATCCTGACCTGACCGTAAAGTGACCCATCCAGCCCATCATCTAAAACTACTGAGATTAATTAAAAGTCAGACAGATTATTTCAGACGTTACCATCCTCCCAAAAAATTTCTATTTAAATTGAATTTGGAAAGCCTGCAGTCCCTGTTTGTGCATATTGGTTTTTTCATTTCATATATGAAACAAAATACACTTTTGGAATAATGGCTGAGTTTGAAGATAGTTTCCAATCATATTAGGTATTCACTTTTGTATTACCAGGTAATTTTCTGATTAAGGAAAAAATGTTTCTCCAAAGTAAAATACAACATTGAAATCAGTTAAAATTACATCAAGTTGGAATCAGGTAACAAACTGAGATAACACAGAGAAAGAAACCAAAGAAATGTTGATTATAACATAACACGATAAAGCACCATGGGATAGAGTCATGACCACCAGGGATCTGTTCTATCTAGATATGTCTGATCACCAGAGATCTGGTCTATCTAGATATGTCTGATCACCAGGGATCAATTCTATCTAGATATGTCTGATCACCAGGGATCAATTCTATCTAGATATGTCTGATCACCAGAGATCTGTTCTATCTAGATATGTCTGATCACCAGAGATCTGTTCTATCTAGATATGTCTGATCACCAGGGATCAATTCTATCTAGATATGTCTGATCACCAGAGATCTGTTCTATCTAGATATGTCTGATCACCAGAGATCTGTTCTATCTAGATGTCTGATCACCAGAGATCTGTTCTATCTAGATATGTCTGATCACCAGGGATCAATTCTATCTAGATATGTCTGATCACCAGAGATCTGTTCTATCTAGATATGTCTGATCACCAGAGATCTGTTCTATCTAGATATGTCTGATCACCAGAGATCTGTTCTATCTAGATATGTCTGATCACCAGTGATCTGTTCTATCTAGATATGTCTGATCACCAGGGATCAATTCTATCTAGATATGTCTGACCACCAGAGATCTATTCTATCTAGATATGTCTGATCACCAGAGATCAATTCTATCTAGATATGTCTGATCACCAGAGATCTGTTCTATCTAGATATGTCTGATCACCAGGGATCAATTCTATCTAGATATGTCTGATCACCAGAGATCTGTTCTATCTAGATATGTCTGATCACCAGAGATCTGTTCTATCTAGATATGTCTGATCACCAGAGATCTGTTCTATCTAGATATGTCTGATCACCAGAGATCTGTTCTATGTCTGATCACCAGAGATCTGTTCTATCTAGATATGTCTGATCACCAGAGATCTGTTCTATCTAGATATGTCTGATCACCAGAGATCTGTTCTATCTAGATATGTCTGATCACCAGAGATCAATTCTATCTAGATATGTCTGATCACCAGAGATCAATTCTATCTAGATATGTCCGATCACCAGAGATCTGTTCTATCTAGATATGTCTGATCACCAGGGATCTGTTCTATCTAGATATGTCTGATCATCAGAGATCTGTTCTGTCTGTATGGATATGATTAACAGATAAGGGAAGAGATAACAGAGATGTTACTTACATATATTACATAGCTATTTTATAAACTGAAGTTTCCTTACAAATAGATATGCCTTTATTTATTGTATAATATTCTTGCTTTCCTTTTGGACAATATCATGACTCTGTTTGTTGTTAGAATTTTTCCTGCACCAAGAACGATACCAGACAAATTCCATTCCCTCAAATAACCACATTTCTGTGTTTATCATTTCAGACTGACCCTTCCATGACACCATCATCTCTGTAAACAACATTGACCTAGGACAATGTGACCTGGATTTACATATGTAATTTAAGTGACCACAGGATGACCCAGGTACTCCGAAAATCCTTAACCATTATCTTAATATCTAGGTCAAAATCAGTTGATTATTGACATCCATAAAATTTTTATTTCACAAAAATGTGACCTGTTAAAAAGAACTTGTCAAAAAATGATGAAATCAAACAAATATTAAATTATTAATGTATAAATATTTGTTATATGTCTTCAGCTTCCTTTTCAATGAGATTAAGAAACAAGTATTACACTCTGTTAAATTTTAAATCTTCCGATGAGCTGATGTCAAAATTTGTGAAATTTTTGTTAATGATTAAAGAAACCAAATCAATTTTATCATTACATTGTAAGTGAGGGGAGACAACTGTTAATAAAAAGATTGATAACTTAGGAGAATTCCTTGAAACAAGAATGCCTAAAAATGGACTTCACTCATATTCCGTATATTTTTCATTTTTATTTTTTTTATTTGTTATTAAGCATAGAAGTTAACATACAAATATAAATATAATGTGAATTGTATTTTGTTGCAATATGTCAGCCAGATCATTAAGAGCGATGTTGACTCGGAACTTATGTCTGAAGGAACATGATGCCTCCATCAGTTACATCAATATCTATAGGAACATGACGCCTCCATCAGTTACATCAATGTCTGAAGTAACAGATGCCTCCATCAGTTACATCAATGTCTAAAGGAACATGATGCCTCCATCAGTTACATCAATGTCTAAAGGAACATGACGCCTCCATCAGTTACATCAATGTCTAAAGGAACACGACGCCTCCATCAGTTACATCAATGTCTAAAGGAACATGACACCTTCATCAGTTACATCAATGTCTAAAGGAACATGACACCTCCATCAGTTACATCAATATCTATAGGAACATGACGCCTCCATCAGTTACATCAATGTCTGAAGTAACAGATGCCTCCATCAGTTACATCAATGTCTAAAGGAACATGACGCCTCCATCAGTTACATCAATGTCTAAAGGAACATGACGCCTCCATCAGTTACATCAATGTCTAAAGGAACACGACGCCTCCATCAGTTACATCAATGTCTAAAGGAACATGACATCAATGTCTAAAGGAACATGATGCCTCCATCAGTTACATCAATGTCTAAAGGAACATGACACCTCCATCAGTTACATCAATGTCTGAAGTAACAGATGCCTCCATCAGTTACATCAATATCTATAGGAACATGACACCTTCATCAGTTACATTAATGTCTGAAGTAACAGATGCCTCCATCAGTTACATCAATGTCTAAAGGAACATGACGCCTCCATCAGTTACATCAATGTCTAAAGGAACACGACGCCTCCATCAGTTACATCAATGTCTAAAGGAACATGACACCTTCATCAGTTACATCAATGTCTGAAGGAACATGATGCCTCCATCAGTTACATCAATGTCTGAAGGAACATGACACCTCCATCAGTTACATCAATGTCTAAAGGAACATGACACCTTCATCAGTTACATCAATGTCTAAAGGAACATGATGCCTCCATCAGTTACATCAATGTCTAAAGGAACATGACACCTTCATCAGTTAAATCAATGTCTAAAGGAACATGACACCTTCATCAGTTACATCAATGTCTAAAGGAACATGACGCCTCCATCAGTTACATCAATGTCTAAAGGAACATGATGCCTCCATCAGTTACATCAATGTCTATAGGAACATGACACCTTCATCAGTTACATCAATGTCTAAAGGAACATGACGCCTC